TTTTTTTATTTTTTATACAAATTAATGGAAAAAAATGTGATGTAATAATGGTATTAAGTTTTTTAAAAAATAATAAAATTTAAATTATAATATTGACTATTGTAAATTAACATTAGAATTTTGATCAATGTAAATTAAATTTATTATCTTAATTAATTATTACATTTGACATAAAATTTAAACTTCAAAAACCAAATATTACAAAAAATATATATATGTACTATATTTAACATTTTTCAAAAGTTTAGAGGGCAACTTGTCTACACCAACTTATCTAGATAAATATTCTGTTAACTAATAGATTAACGGAATGTTTGTCAAGTAGTCTATTTTGAAGTAAAATTGATAGTTTAGAGATTATTTTGAAAGAAAAAATTATTTTTAAACTAAACTGAAATAAATCATATAGTTAATAGATTATTTATTGAATTTAACCCTAATGCTAGTGATAAAATATCTGCGTATGCCCATGTAACATATTGATGCTTGGGTGTCTTGAGTTTCTCATGCTATTATAGTCTGTAGCCAAAGAAAATTGAAGATGCACAATCTATCTTCTTTGGTTCTTTTTAGCTGGTTATTTAAGAGGAAATACAAATTCAATTGTTGCAGTGGGTTGGTTTCGGCTATACATTGAATCAAAACTTGGGTTTGTTACATGGAATGGGCTGGGTCTAGGCGGTCAAGATGTGGATGGTTTTTCCTGCGCTTAATTTAATAAATCATTTATTAATTATTACTCTTTTTTCATTTTAGTCTAGATACTTTACTTTCTTTCAAATTCATCCATTAACTTTCAAAATTATTTCGTTCTCATCTACCCCCACACAACACCGTTAACCACGTTTATGGAGCTTACCGATTCTAATTGCGTGGCGCCATGTAAGCTGCGAGGTGGCGCCATCTAAGCTAACAACTAGCCTAAAAAATGGAAGGAAATATTCCTACTTCCTTGATTTAAGGCTAAATGTGAAAATGATTTAAGGACAATTTTTTTGTACTACATTTTAGGACAACCTTTTTATCACCTTTAGGACCACCTTTTTATCACCTTTTAAGACAACTTATGTGTCATTTAAATAATTAACTCTTTGCATTCTTTTGGAACATGTGATATTAAACATATTTACTTATTTAAT